GAAAGAAAGAAAGAAAGAAAGAAAGAAAGAAAGAAAGAAAGAAAGAAAGAAAGAAAGAAAGAAAGAAAGAAAGAAAGAAAGAAAGAAAGAAAGAAAGAAAGATTGGATATTAAAATTAGGAAATGTTGTTGCAATGTCCTGAGGGGAGGGTCATGTGACAATCAAAGTCAATGGGGAAGCCAGGTTCACTCAACAAATGTGTGACTCACTTAACAGCTGCAGTGATTCACTTAACGGCTGTGGCAAGAAAAGTCGTAAAACAGGACAAAAACCCCATTGAACATGCATGTCACTTGGTGACAGAAATTTCAGGCTCCATTGTGGTCTACTTGCATGATAATATCCTAGGTCAGGGGTCCCCAAACTTGGCCACTTTAAGACTTGTGGACTTATGCTGGCTGGAGAATTCTGGGAGTTGAAGTCCACAAGTCTTAAAAGGGGCCAAGGCCGGAGACCCCTTTCCTGGGTTCTCGTGACAGAGTCGATGCCCAGGCAGACGAACCCTGGATAAATAACTGATTCGTTAGGGCGGATAATATCATGGAGATGCAGGCTGACTCCGGAGTTTCCCCAGGGTCCCCGGGAGAGAAATCCCAGCAGATCTGATGCCGCTCGGTGGGGAAACAGAGGGCTAGCGGGGAAATGTCACTTCAACCCCACCGCAGCCCTGACTCAGGGGCTGGAGCCCGCATGATGCTCAGGGAGGCAGCAGGAGTGGGGGTTGGGGAAGCCTGTCAGAGCACATTTATGCCCCCGTTGAGCTGAAAAGGGAAGCGAGGAAATAATCTGGGGGGAAAAAAGCATGCAAAAGGCAGAACCGGGCTTGGAATCCTGACTCGGGCCCACCACAAAGCTCAAGGAAATATTGTTTTGCATGCATCCAAGAGGAAATGCTCACAGAGAGAGAGAGAGAGAGAGAAAGAAAGAGAAAGAGAGAGGGGGAGGGAGGGAGGGAGGAAGGGATATATATATATAGAGAGAGAGAGAGAGAGATACAGAGAGAGAGAGAGAGAGAGAAAGAGAGAGGGAGGGAGGGAGGGAAGGAGATATATATATATATATATACAGAGAGAGAGATACAGAGAGAGAAACGTACAGAGGAATAAAAAAAAACTGACCAAACAAAACAGGAAATATAAGCCAGAAAGCAAACAGCCTCACACCAACATAGACTAACTGCCATGAAACCCATCCTCCTCCTCCTCCTCCTCCTCATCATCATCATCCTCCTCCTCCTCCTCATCCTCTTATCAGCCCAACTCGAAGTCTCCAGTCCAACCGCCAGCAACCTTGGCTGTCTTTCTTAATCTATTCTTGCTGGGGGGGGGGGGGATTTCCTCCGGGTGGGGACAATTGTGCCTGAGCCACCTCCATTTTTAGCTTTTGTGCACGTTCCCGGTGCCTTCGCAGAGGCCAGAGACGCATCTTTGGAAATAAAAAGGAATACGGTTCAGGTTTTGTGGCTCGGTGGCATGCCAGCCCCTTCAAAATAAATAAGTAAATAGCATTCTCCAAAAAAAAACAAAAACAAACCCCAAACCCGCCACCCAGTGAAAGAGTCTGTAGGAGCAGAAAGAGGGGTCCAGCGCCCAGATTTTTAAAATTTCAGTCTTCAAAGCAAAATAAGTGGCGTTACGGCAGAAGCAAAGCAGCCACGGAATAATTCAGCGTGTCAACATTGATTACAAAGACCGCGGCTTCTCCATCCTCCCTTTAAGGAAGAGGTGGGTTTGTTTGTGAAGGAGGAATGTCCTGTTTTCTCTCCGGAACGTAAGAGAAAGAAAACCAGGCCAGCCTCCCTAAAGGTGGAATTCCAAAGATTAGGAACCACGAAAGACAAAACATCCAACAACCAGGCACTTAATAACTTCCTGAATGCGAACAAGAGTCTTCCTTCGTTCAAACCCTCCAGATGGAAGGAAGTTTTCAGGCCACCAGTCCAGATTAAGCATCCTTCACAATTGGGGTGGGGTGGGGGGTGTCTGTCTTCTCTTGGGCAGGACAAGAGGGAGACCACCAACTCACTGCACCCTCCTATCACAAGAGGACGGTGAGTTCTAGTCCTGCCTTAGGATGAAAGCCAGCTGGGTGACTTTGGGCCAATCACTGGGAGATGGCGAGTTCTAGTTCTGCCATAGTCATGAAACCAACTTGGGCGATGTTGGCCCAATCACCAGGAGGTTGTGAGTTCTACTTCCACCTCAGGCATGAAAGCCGCCTGGGTGACTTTGGGCCAATCACCAGGCAGCTGTGAGTTCTAGACCTGACTTAGGCATGAAAGCTGCCTGGGTGACTTTGGGCCCATCACCGGGAGACCATGAGTTCTAGTTCCAGCTCAGGGATGGAACCCAGCTGGGTGGCTTTGAGCCAGTCCCTTTCTCCCAGCCCACCTCACAGGGTTGTTGTTGTGAGGAAAAAGAAGAGAAGGGGGAGTTAGGTATGTCTGCTGCCTTGAGTTACTTATAAAGTACTAAAAGTGGGCCCCCAAATTTAAAGAAATAAATAAATGAAGCCTACAGCTGAGTGCCGTCACTTGTTATGACCAAAAAATAACGAACTACTTCAAGTCAAGCTTGAGGCCAGTTGCCTTCCTGGCCAGGGCACATTGCTTCCTAGACGGTGGACACCAAAGAGACCCCCCTCCCAGTGCGTAAGCTCTCGGTGTGCACACCTACGACAACAAAGGGACAGGCCGCAGATCACAAATCACAGTTACAATCCTTAACGGTCTCTCCTCCGTCGAGTTCTAGATCAGTTGAGAGCAACGTCAACGCATCGTAATCCAAGGAGCAAGAATCCAAATCCTGGTTGGTTCTGGCATGACGAACTAAGCAGGACGGGATCCTCAGCCACAGAGTGGTCAGTGCCTGGGACGCCCTGCCTGACTCTGTGGTTTCTTCCACTAACCCCAAACCCTTCAACCTCAGATGGTCTACTGTTGACCTCATTCCTAAGAGGTCTGTAGGGGCCGTGCATAAGCGCACCAATTTGCCTACTGTTCCTGTCTTAAATGTTCCCCTCTTATTTGTATCCATTTCATGTATTAATAATCATGTTTATACATACATATGTGCATGCCTGCATAATCAAATGCATGCTTGACAAAATAAATAAAGTAAATAAACCCAGGTGGGAGAAGAAAATAAACAGACTTCCTAGAAGGCACTTAGGGCAAATCCCTTCCCTCACTGCAGAGACACGAGAGGTCGAGACAAATCCAAATTCCCTAAACCAGGTTCTTATTGCATCCTAGGAGTGAAGGATTTCTTGGAGACTTCCAGTATTTCCTTGCTCTCTCCAGGTAACCAAGCCAACTCTCACCCCCACCCCCACCCCCCCAGGCTGATATTTTGTCCTGAGGGCCCATCTACAAGTGGGGAAACCCTCTTCGATTCTCGGATGCAGTCCCAACCTCCCTTTCCAAGGAATCCGTGTCGGGAAAGTCCATTTCTTTCCCAGCAGGACGGCACCTTCATCACTCGCACTTCTGAGTCACAAAAGCCACATTTCCACAATGAAGAAAGAGGGGAAGGAATAAAACTTGCAAAGAAAAAAAAAAAGACTGCTAAGGCTGGTTAGGATGAACCTGGTTTGTTTAGAAAGGGGGCTTTTAAGAACCTTGTGGGCATCCAGTCCATTATTATTATTTTTTCCCCTGTTTTCGGATTCAAACAAACTGCAGGTTGACTCAGTCACCTGAGGCTGAGCAACCCCGTTGCTGTGCAAAGAAAGGAATCCCATTTCAAAAGAAGAAGAGTTTGAGTGTCCTGTGAACAGGCAAAGCGGGCTTAGTCCAGAACCGAGTTTGGATCGCAGAGGGAATGTAGGAGCCGATCTTGTTTCTTGACAAATTTAAGAGGTGCATCACATTTATTCTTCCCTAAGCCCAGAAGCCAAGGTTGGAGACCCCCCATCCCGGGGGGGGGGGGGAGGGGAATTCTGGGAGTTGAAGTCCTCCAGGCTTCAAGCGGCCAAGGTTGGGACCCCTGCCCTAACCTCCTTCCTGGCCCTTTGACGGTGGTGGTTGGTTGTGGCGCGCGCTCTCTCTCTCTCTCTCTCTCTCTGTCTTTCCCTCTGCTTTTGCCTTTCCCTCCCCCCCCCCCCCCCCCTCTCTCTCTCTCACACACACACACACACACCACCCTTCGGGAAATCTCTCCTCCTCTTGGAGCTCCAAGCGACCCGTCGTCCCAGGAACTGTCCAAATCCCCACAGCCCAAAGAAACCGGGGCCATCCGAGCGCCCTTTCCCAGCGCCCCGCCTAAGTGACCCTCCGGGGCTTTCCTGGTGGTCTCCTCTCCCGGGCCAGCCCCCCCCAAAGAAAGGAAGAAAGAAAGAAAGAAAGCGGCGGGCGGCGGCAGAGGCGAGGAAAGCCCCCTCCCCGCGCAAGGCTGGGGAAGCGGTGCCCACCCCCCCCCCGCACCCCCCCATCCACGGCAGGCGCCGCGGTCGCGCGCGGGGCTCTCACCTCCCGGCAGGGCGGCAGCTGCGGGCTGGCGGAGGCGGCCCCGACCTCGGCCGGCCAGCCCAGCAGGAGCGCCGCTGCCCAGCCGCCCAGCCAGCACAGCGCGCCCGGCAGCCGGAGCATCGCCCAGGGGCAGGCAGGGCTCGCCGACGCTGCGCCCGGGAAGCCTCGGCTCCCTTCGCTGCCCTCCCGGCCGGGCACCGGCGCTGCCTGCCTGCCTGCCAGCTGTTGGGCGGCCGAGGAGCCGGAGGGAGGAGAGGGCGGGGACGCAGGAGGAGGAGGAGGAGGAAGAGGGGGACCTGCCAGTGCGCAGGCGCCAGGGGGAGGGGGGAGCTCGGGGCTCCCAGCACCTGGGCCCCTTCTGACATCTCGGGTGGGAGGAGTGGGGTGCACAGACAGGGAGGTGTGTGTGTGTGTGTGTGTGTGTGTGTGTGTGTGTGTGATGGGGGAGGATGGGGTGGTCCCTGGCTCCCCAGGCGGTGGGAGATGCAGGCTGGGACCAAGCCAGGAGGGCCTCCCTCCTCTTAAGCACAAGCAAGCTTATTTTTTACAAAAAATGGATGGAGTGAAATGTGAGAAGAATTAGGGGGGCCAGGAGAGCAGCCTTCCAGTATTTGAGGGGCTGCCCCAAAGAAGAGAGGGAGTCAAGCTATTCTCCAACAAGAAGCCACAGATGGAAACCCATCCAGGAGAGAAGCAACCTAGAACTAAGGAGGAATTTCTGGAAAGTGAGGACAATTAACCAGTGGAACTGCTGGCCACCAGAAGTTCTGGTGGCTCCATCCCTGGAGGCTTTTAAGGAGAGACTAGAGACAATCGCTTAACTGAGATGGGATAGGTTCTCCTGCTTCAGCAAGGAGGTGGGCTAGGAGACCTCTAAGGTCCCTGCCAGCTCTATTCTATTCTAAATTCTATTCCTATCTTGTGGTTGTAAGCCAAGGGCTACCTGGACTGGGGAAACCCACCCCGTAGTAGTAGTAGTAGTAGTAGTAGTAGTAGTAGTAGTAGTAGTAATAATAATAATAATAATAATAATAATAATAATAATGATAATAGTAATAATAATAATAATAATAATAATAATAATAATAATAATAATACCTCCCCCCCTAAAATAGGACAGTTGGATTTCTTGATTAATAGGCTTAGGCCTCCCCTTACGGCCACAGCTCAACCCCAAAGGCATCCATGACGGAGTGAAACATGCTTGTCGAGGGAGTTTTGCCCCAGCCTTCTGGCCGTTGTTAAGTGAATCACCACACTGGGTTAAGCTAGGAACATGGTTGTTAAGGGAAACCAGCTTCCCCTTTGACTTTGCTGGTCAGAAGGGGGCCAAAGGGGGGGGGGGGCGCAACACACACACACACACACACACACACACACAAGGGACACTACAGCTGTCATAAATATGAGTCAGTTTGCCAAGCGTCCGAATTTGGGGCGTGGGACCATGAGGAGGCTGGAAAGCTCGTAAGGATGGGAAACGGCCGCCAGTCCCTTTTGTTCAGTGCTGACGTAACTCCGAGCGGCCGCTTAAAGGAACTGTTGTAAATCGAGGGTTGCTGTATTTGTCGCTCGGGGCGGACACGAGGAGGGGGTCCTTGCTGCTGCCTGGCCTTGGTGGGGGTTTGGGGTTGTTGTTGTTTTTTTTGCAGACGTTGCATTACCCAACTAGCTAACACCATCAGCTCTAGAGGAGGGCTGGGCTGGGAATGGCTCAGCGCGCCCAGGGGTGGGATTCAAATGTTTTAACAACCGGGTCTGTGGGCGTGGCTAGGCGGGCGTGTGACTGGGTGGGTGTGGCTTCTCCTTTCTTTTGTTCTCTTTTTTGCAGCCCCCCCCCTTTCCCCCCCCCCGGCTCCATTTTCTTTTCCTCCTGGGCCTCGGGGAAGCCTCCTGCAGGGGCCCTTTTGCTCCCAGGAAGCTTCCCTGTGGCCCAGGAAGGCAAAAAAAAGAAAAATGGAGCCCGGGCAGGGGGCGCAGAACCCATCCCCCCCCCCCACCCCGCACATCCACCTTCTTGCCACCTGGGCCTCAGGGGAGCCTCCCGGGCCGCGAAGCAGTAAGGCAGCCGGGGAGGGGGGGCCGGCTCAGCTGATCGTCGGGAGGGAGGGAGGGAGGGGGAAAGAAACACCTGAAGTGAGGGAGAACTGGGTGGGGCAGAAAACAGTCGGCGATGCCACGCATGCACAATAAGGACTGATTGGCCTGGGGGGGGGGTGTCAGCCAGGGCCACAATTTGCCGGTTCTCCAAACTGCACAGAATCATAGAATCCCACCGGAAGAACCGGTAAAATCCCACCCCAGATTCTCCGGTTCACAAGACACCCCCGAATCCTAAGCGAATGAGCAGAGTGGATCATGCAAGACTTGAATATCCAGAATATCAGCCTTGGCTGGATTATTCACGAACCCTGGTTTTCGGAGCCCAAGGCGTCCCCTATAAAGTGATCGAATAAGCTAGGTTTGCTCCACGTCCCTCCTGCCGCCAAGACCAAGAACCGAGGTTAAGACTAACCAGGTTCCGCCTGCTGGCGGGGGCCTTGTCTGCAGAACCCGAACCCAACTCTGGTTATTCTAATTCAGCTGTTAATTTGTGATTCAGGCTGTTGAGCAGACTTGTAAAATTGGATTAACAGAGGGAACCAAGATTTACTTCTCCATGGTTACCGGTTTCATGTGATTCTCCTTCCTTAAAATCTTCCACAGAATGTATTCAGATGTTGCCATAAAGTAGAATGTGGTATTTTCAGTGCACATACAGCCAAAGTCAAATAGTAGATGAATGCTCTTTAAAGGCTTAGAAAAATACGGCTGTAAAGTTAATATTTGCAAAAGCAACGGAAATCTGTCATAAAAGAAATTCCAAATAAACATACCTTTTTTTTCCCCTCTGTGGTGCAATACTCAGAAAAAAAAAATAGAAAATGGAATTTGATTTTGATCACCTTCATAATCATCCCTCTTAACCATTTCTCCTTTGACGTCCTTGAAAGATCGTGCAAGGTAATAATTTTCACTATTTATGCAAAACCAGAGAAACTTAACTAATATTTCTTAACCTTTATGGGACTACAATCCACGTTATGTGTGGCACGTTATTCTTATATATTTGAGTGGGTGTGTAATGTAGGAGCAACAATATACAGAAATCTGTGGCTTGTAACCATTGAACTCATGTTTCCAACAATTGCTGTCAGCAGCTGCTAACACTCAGCTCTGCTGAATTTCTTTTTATTTGTTTACTTATTTTGTTTCTTTCTTTGTTAGTTTTGTATGCTGCCCATCTCGCTTCAGGCAAATTTCCTTTGTTGTTTCAGCAGAACAAATTTTATTTTATTGTCCTTTGTTCTTTTAGGAGTCTATTTTAGGGCATGCTTTCATTTCTAGCTGACCCCTACATCAAAAAGTCAGGATGTTATACCACTGGTGGGGGTTTTTTTCATGCTGCCAAATTTGGAGAGACAGTTGTGGGGAAGAAAAAGAAAGAGAAGAGAGGAGAAGAAAAGGGAAGGGAAAGGAAGGGAAGGGAAGGGAAGAGAGGAGAGGAGAAGAGAAGAGAAGAGAAGAGAAGAGAAGAGAAGAGAAGAGAAGAGAAGAGAAAATATAGAAGGGAAGGGAAG